AGTTAAACCATCTCATATCAGATCACCTTTGTAGAAAATGATGTTCCAAACCTTCCATATCTTTAATTACTTTTGAGCAGTAACTCATCTCTTGATGGTAAATGAAAATTTATTTTGAACCGTTCATTTCATAAATACTTTGTACTTTATAGTTCGACACCTTTCTGAGAAATTATAACACCTTAATCGTTTTGGTACAATTCTAAGTTTAGTTACTAGACCGTATGTGGTGTACAAGGAAACAAATCGCACTTACAACTGGCTATAAGAAACTAAAAAACTTAGAATTAGACAAAAAAAAAAAAAAAGCAATTATGCAACTGCCATTTAAAAGCCCTATCGCCTACATTACTCAGTTCAGTTAAGCACTGGCACTGTTATAAAATCATAAATTACCGAACTAAAAAGTGAAATGTAATTGGTGACCGGTAATTCGTTTTTGCAGTATTCGAATATTATATTAATCCTTCTAACCTTTAGCTGTTCGTCGTTGCGCTACGAAAACATACAACTATAGGTGATATTCGCGAAACGAAAAACATGCTTCGGCTGTTGTTACATCACAACTTCTGTGCAACAACTTCCATTTCCACCTCAAGATTGTCGTATTTCTAATGCTGCACTAAATTGAAACCTACAAGTGTACACTGTGCTCTTCTTTGCACTTCTGAAAGAAAAAAATTTTCTTTTTTTCAAATCTACTAATTTTCCATTTTTTTTTCTGAAGTTTTAATCACTTTTTTTAAATTTTCGAAAATTTAATTTACCAGTGGTTACTACTGCAATCATCAACTAATGATACTTGCCGCCTACATTGCATACTAGAGGTACTAGCCTTTACCGAAAAGAACAGGATGAAAAACTTTTTACCAGCCCACGATTATTTGTGTACCAAGTTTATCAGTCCCACTTCTGTATAATCACCTGATTGCCATCTCCCTTATGACATAGACAATAAACATAAACTAAACAATGTAAATAATTTTTTACATCATTTCCCATGTCAAAAGCTGCATTCAAACTACCGGGCGCCCTCCAAAGGTTTAGGTTCCGCTTCGTCCGTCAAAAAAAACAGCAAGATTTCACCGAAGTCATATGACACAAGTGCTGACAACTCGTCATATTCATTGCGTAAGTTGATTCTAAACAATTTTTAATGTTGTAGATTCTTTCTTTGGGGTTAAGTTACGACTGTACCACTCCCGTCAATAACCTCTACTGCTTTAAACCAACCAATATAATGTAATTCGAAAATAGTGGAACTAATTAGCCGAAAAGCATGTTGCATTTGCCATTTCTGGCAGCGTAGAAAAACGCTATAAGTTCAAAGCTAATTTTATTTAGGTGAAATAAAAAAAACAGGACTTTACAAGCATTTACTGCTTGGAATTTAACTGATGAGAAGAAAATTAAAACTGGTATTAGGAGCTGTTTTATTAAAATTTGCTAAACGTCATTCCTAAAAGGGGGTTTTTAAAAGCTACCTGAAAAAAATGAAAGAGCTGAAACTGCTGTCCCTATATAGCAATAAACTTTCTAAAAGAAACTTTTTATTACTGGCAAAGTTGAAATGACCAGTTTCTGCACCCAATTCCCCCCTCTCGCTGAGGATTCTTTCGACTTTAACCGAACCTGTATATTAACACACTACAGATATACACTAAATTACTTTCACCATTATTATAAAAGTATTGTTTACTAAAACTACATATACTCTAACCTAGAATTAAGCAGAGCATAGACCATAAGAAGAAAACAAAACCTACAGTTTATAAGAGCTAAAGGGAAACTGAACGACGAAGTGCTAATATGATTCCAAGAAATCAAAGCATTAAGACTATAAAATCTTGAATACTATAAATTAATTCCCAAGCTGTTCAAAAGAAATGTTTAGTTGTGTGAAACTTTGGGTAGATGTAAATCTGCTAAGGTCTCAGGTAGGCGGCACTGAAATCACAAGTTTTTGATGCCTTTGCAATATACTTGAAGAAAAAAGACATGTGAATCACCGATGATTGCTGTCCCATAATGACTTTAGTTATCAAATCCTTTATAAAAAGCACTGTTGAAACCTTGCATTACGGTTACAGATTAGCGCCGGATAAGCTGGAATTAAACAACCTGATAAGGTTAGTCGTAAAAAAACTTGTTTATTTTCTACTACATAAGTAACGGATGACAAACAGATAAACATCCATTAACTTTAGCACTGACTAGGCGGAATTCCAAGACTGCTCTACAAAGATCCTAGTGATGATTATTGCACAAACCATTAGCACTAACGCATTCCCCAATGAACTCTGAACTGCATCTAAATGGACCGTGATGCCTCTGGCGGATGAAAAGTGCAAATGCAGTACGGCCGCGAGCGGTTTTAACCGAAAAGCCTTGAGGGGAAACCGGCAAAAGGCGCCAACAGGAGTTGGGCCTGAAAAATCGTGTTTGCTGCCTCAGATTCCTTTAATACGAAAAATCATTTCGAAAAATTATTTTGTATTGCTGAGGTCTGCGTTACTGGGAATGTCATGGTTTTGGGCAACTGCTTGTTACTGAAAAGCTTTTTCAGTGACAGAGGTTTTTTTTTGTATGTGTAGTCCTTCCGTTTTAGTGGTGGTTGTTCTAGCTTATGTTTTTCGTAAATTTTATGTGCCGGTGAACTGAGTGAAAAGCATTTTATTTGGTCATAACTAATTTTCTTTCTTATTGTTATCGTTATCGTTTTTTTTTTGTTTCGCTTTGGTTTCTTCTCATTTCAACTTTGAGTGGATTGGGAACAGGAGAAGTAGTTTCCGCTACTTTACAATGGCGCTTTTTTTTACAAGGCCCTCAACAGACGTGTAGGACTGGTTCAAGGTATCGAAAAGTTGATGGAAAAAAATTTTTTTTGGAATTGACGTTAACTTCATTGATGTGTCCTAACATGCTTTCAGTGGCAAATTAAGTCATTGGCAGGTTCACTGCTTTCCCCCCCTCCCTCCCCCCCCTCTTTCTCCTGCCGCTAGTTATCTTTGAAGCTTCGGAATTATGGAAAAATGTGCGATGG